GAATCTAGATACTACAAAACTGTAATAAAAGTAGATAGTAAAAACAAAACAAGAAATAAGGACCAGACTGGAAATAAAGCATGTAAAAGGGTTGCAAACAAGTGGCAGGAGAGGGAATTCTCGCCGTTCTTTTCTGTGTAACACCAAAGAGAATCGGAGATGTGGTGAGAGTTGGAGTATGATAATTTTGTGCTTTCATCTCAGATTTCATCCAAGCATTGGCCAGATGGATAACGGAGCGGGCAGGGATCTGTCCCCGGGAGTGATGGTTCATTCGTGCCAAAGGGCTTGTGTCTTATCTTACTCCCCTGCTTCATGCCGGTCTCTGGCTGTGGACAACCAAGCCACGGAGCCTGCAGCAAGCATGGGAGCTGGGATGCGCTGTGAGCACAGACTTGATCCTGTCAGAGGGAACTGGTATAGAGTCAAAAGTGAATGATTTGGAGGAAAGCAGGCAGGGATGGCAGAGCAGAGGCTGCTCCTGTCAGAATGAATTGGCTGTAAAGGAAAAACCAGGTAAGCGTTGTGTCTGATATGGGAGAGCTGGTAATGGGAATGTTTGGCGGACAGAGAAGAGCCTCAGCTTGCTCTAGATTAGAAGCACAATGGTGATCAGAAAAGTAGCTGAATGAAACTGTTACTGTCTCCTTGTTTAGGATTTCCAGACCAGTATAGCTGTGGAAGAGTTGAGAGGAAATCCAGCAACAGAAGCGACTGTTAGGGCTTGGGTGTGTTTGTACCTGTTTGATGCTCTCTCATCCTTCCCTTTCTACAGCTTTGAGGGTGATGTGGCCAGCTGAACACAGATTTTTGTGTGTCTGGTTTCTGCTTCCAGTGTCTTAGCCCTTGTGGTGATATTGGCAAAGGAGGCAGAAGAGTTTGAATTCTCGGATTCCTTGTGACTGATATTCGCAGAATACCTCCTGGTTTGTAAGCTTGAGTGCACTTAATGATGAAGCCTTCTAGAGAGAATGAGTGCGCACCCAAATGGTGCTATTGACAGAGTTTCTCTGCTCTAACTAAGGATTTTATATTGCTAGCTTGCCGATTTCATCAATAATGTGACTGGGTAGTGCAAATCATTGTAATTACTCCTGGTGCTTCACCTTCAAGCTTTTGTGTATTCAAGCTTTTCTGTATTTGTGTCAAGCATGTCAAGGGCAGAGCAAGGAGAGGAGACTGCTTTGAGGGAGATCTTAAATGGGGAAACAAGTGGAATGCGCTGAGCGTGAT